TCTTGAAGATGGAATTCATAGCAAACTGAAAAGTGGATGAGGCGTTGCACAATTCGAATGGCATAACCAGATACTCATAGTGCCCCTGGTGCGTACGAAATGTTGTCTTCGGAATGTCTGCCTTGTGGAGTCGAATCTGATGATAACCAGCTCTCAGGTCGAGCTTTGAGAAGTAACGTGATCCAGCTAACTCAACAAGCATGTCGTCGACACTAGGGATAGGAAATTGGTCCTTGATAGTTGCGGCATTCAGAGCTCGATAGTCAGTACAGAACCTCCACGTACCATCTTTCTTTTTAGCTAACAGTACAGGAGAATAAACGGACTCTTGCTATGCTGGATTAGACCTGACTCAAGCATCTCGGCCACCTGCCGTTCAATCTCAGTTTTCTGAAAGTGAGCGTACCTATAAGGATGGACATGTATGGCATGCTGCTCATTGCTCAGTGGTATGCGATGATCGAACTCTCGGTGTGGCGGTAGTCCCTTAGGCTCGCCCAGTACTCCTTCAAATTCATTGAGAAGCTCGCGCACATCTCCTTGTTGTCATTCGTCTCGGTCTATGTGCGCCTCTGTGTTCTCGACCACTACTACAAATATTTGGCCTCCACTTCGCCAAACTTTTTCGATGCTCTTTAGTCCTACCTCCTTGGTACCTTTTTCATTGCCAGCACTCAGAGTGACTTGTCGAACCATTGTCTATGAGTACGATTATCCTGCGATCCTGGGCCCACGCTGGTAGTCGCATCGTTCTTGGCCCTCTGATTCCAGCCATTGCATGCATCGAGATCTCAGGTTCTTCATTAAATGCTTCCAAGTTGTCCTCTGGATCCGGTTCTTCCTCGATTTCATCTTCCTCATCGTCGGGATTGGCTACTTCAATCACAAAAGCTTGTTTACACTGATGGCCCGGCGTAAACTTCTCTTCACATTTGAAGCATAGGCCTTTCTCGCGTCGACGTTTAACTTCCTCGGGAGACAACCTCCTTACTATCGACCCGGTCGGCCGGTTGCTGACGTTCGACCGTGCGCTGGCCGTTGCCTGGCTTGGTCCCGTGCGTTGCATGTCCGTGAATCGCACATCCGCCCGTCCCCTTCGCGTGGCGACTAGATGGTCTTCTCGTCGACGGGATACCTCCATGGCTTTATGCATTGTGTCTGGCCGCTCCAGTCGGACTTCTGCAGCTAGATCGAATCTCAGCCCACCTATGAAGGCTCCTACTAGTGCATCCTCAGACCAATCTCGCACGCGGCAGGCCAGTCATTCAAACTCCTTGATGTATTCACGCAAATTGCCTATCTGGCGTATTCGTGCAAGAGCCTCATTGTAGTTATGGTAATCGGACGTACCAAAACGTGTGAGCAATTCTCTCTCAAAGTCAGCCCATGTAATGACATGTTGCCGCCTACGGTAGATCCTTTAGAGCCATTGCCACCATACATTGGCCTCACCATCTAGGTAGAATGTTGCGTACCTTACTCGGTCGTGGCCTTCTGTTTCATTCAGTTCGAAATATTGCGCAATTCGGTTGAGCCAAGCCTCCGGATCACTTCCCGTGAAAGTGGACATTACGAACCTCAGTTTGTCGGGCTTCGGTCGTTCTCGGTAGGTGGACGCCTACGACCACTGGTCGAACACCTCTTCGTGCTCGTAACCCTAGCTTCACCGGTTCGTGCCTTGGGTGATCGTCGCGGTGATGTCGGGGTTACTGCTGGAACGCGCGCAAGACTTCCTCTAATCGCTGTTCGAGTCGTGTGACAACGGTGTTGGTGTTGTTTTGACTTTCGTCAAGCGATCCCAGCCTTCCTTCCATAACCTCGCTCATACTTCGCATCTGGATGTCAAGATTATCGATCTTATCCTTCATCTCCTTGTTGGCCATGGCTTTTCTTTCCTCTCTTCGTTCTTTGCTTTGAGGACTTGTGGTTGAAGATGATGATGATGATGATCAACGATCAAATATATATATTTTTTTAATATATGACGGGGGGAACGAAAAATAGGAAAAGAAAAAGAAAGGGAATGGGGTAGGAGAAAAACACACAATCAACACCTCTCAATGAAAGCGCCAATGATGAGGATCGTGTGTTTCGATTGCCGATAAGCCGCTAACCCGCGCCTTGAATCGCCGATAGTGTTTCTCTAGCCACAACAGTGCCTATTGAAACGAATAAAATTGCAGTAGTATTTTGGTGAAAAGACTAAAGCAAAGTTGGAAGAACAAAGTTCTAGATTTCTATTGATTTCTTGAATGATGAAAAATAACATGGGGGATGGTCCTTTATATAGACACCAAATAGATCTAATCCTAATATAACTATAACTCTAAGAAAGCAATAAAATATTAAGTATCCTAATTAAGCTAGATATCATTGTGCAAGATGGAAACTAAATAACTTGGCTTGCACTCCAAGGGATCTCTTTCTCTTTTTCTCGGCCACATGCGAACCGCCCTTGCGCGCCGCCCGCACGCCCTAGTCCTCGAGGACTAGGGCACCTCCTTCCTTCTCCGCACGTGCGTGCCCATCCGGTGTGTCGCGCACGCCACTGCTGCTGGCCGCCTTACCGCGTGCGTGCTGCCCCGCCAGTTTGCATTTCTCGAGGATTGGGGCGTCCTGCCCCGCGCTTGCTAGGACGTTTTGCGCGCCTCGCGCGCATCCACCTTTCGCACTCGTCCCGCGTGTGTCGCGCGCCGTCGTCTGCGCGTATCCGCCTACGCCCATCTCCCACATATCCACACGTTGGCCACCCATACTCGCCCCACGCGCACTATACTCCAGCGCGCGTACTTCCGCCGTCTCTCGGTCTAACCTCTTGCGTGCGTGATATGCCCGGCTCGCAGCGTTCTTGAGCTGTCTAGCCACTTCCGCATCACGGTGCCCCGCAGCCGAGTAGCGTGCTGCTGCAGTCATGTGCGTAAGCGTGCGCAGTGCACGCCAACACGTACGGCAGCATGTAGCCAGTCCGTCCGCGTACGCCACAGCGCATCGCACGCCCAGCAGCGTGCCCCGCAACGCCCGTACGCCCGCCAGCAGCGTTCCACGCACGCTGGCCAGTAGTCCCGCATAACAACACACCCAACAGCGTGCTGGCAGTGCCCAGTAGGCCTCGGCGTTGCCCGGCAGCACGCCCGAGTGTCCAGTCAGCCCAACACACGCAGCCCGTGTGTCAATCACCTGTTCGTGGTGCGCAGTAGCGCCTGGCAGTGCCAGTATGCGCCAGTGCCGTCGCCAGTGGCTGAGGCAGTAGCCAGTCATGCCCAGTAAGTGTCCAGCAGTCGTTGGCCGTGCACAGCAGCACGCCAGTGACCATCCCCAGCGCACGCTCGGTGCCAGCCGCACCCGCCAGTGCACGGGCGAAGCCCAGCCAGCGCCAGCCAGCGCTAACAGCGCCTAGGACGCGCGTAGTACGCGCACATGACCAAGCCGGTGAACAGCCAGCAGCCGACCGCCCGGCCGTAGTGAGCCGGTGGTCCGGCCAGTCAGTGAACCAGTCGGTTCAGACCGGTTACTTGAGCAGTTCTGTACTCAGTGACCCGGTCCGAGTTCAGTATAGTATTTCAGTTAATTTTTCAGTCTAGTTAGTTCAGTTTGTCCATATCAGTTCATCTCAGTTTTCTTGTCAGTCAAGTTAGACCCCGATATTATTCCAGTTAAATATTTAAGATCGAGTCGAGCATCTTAACAGCTATTTTCAGTCAGTCTGAGCATAGTACTTAGTATTTGTTTATTTATATATATTTACAGATTGATCAGCAGCAGCACTTACACTATCAGATTAACAGTTCAGGTGGGGACTCAGACTGGGTATTACATTGATTATAATTACTCTACCATGTTTGAGGTATATATATGAGTTATCCACTTTGGGTGGAGGCGCAGTAGCCTTAATTGACATCCCGAGTTCCGGTGGAGGCGCAGTAGCCTTAATTGCCCATCGGAGTGTGCACATGGTTACGGACATAGTGTCCGAGATATTCACATTAGTTACCGACCTAGCGTCGGGAGAGTACAGTTTACTTATATATACCTGCAGTCATGATATTGATATTATCATTAATGTTTACTTCAATATGAGTTTCTGCGGAGCACAGTGGCTTTAGTGCTCACGCTTCCACTATATTATCTTTTTCAGGTGACAAGGTCGGTCCGGAGGAGTGAGCAAAGCAAGTGGTCGTTGGTCCAGTACATATGCTTTTGCAAACTTATCACATGTATATATTATTTTGCCACGATTTTACTTTCGCTGATGTGTTCAGACTTTCAAAACTCGCATGTTAGTTTTCAGTTTTTGATCCGAACTTTCTGGTCGGATTTATACAGTATTACATGTTGGTTTGATAAAAGATAATCCGTTTTTCTAAATAGTTTTAAATTAATCAAGTTAACGGATTTTTAGAAAAGAAATGTTTTCTGTAGCATTCCGAGTCACGATTTCGCAAACTAATAAGTATTTTAACAAAAGGATTTGCGAAAATTTAACTCTGATTTTAATAAGCTAGCGGGGTGTTACAGAAAACGCGAGCGGGACGGACGCAACTGGCGTGCGCGGCACTCGCGTAGGTGGTGAGGACGCGCGGGACATAGGCGGCGGTAGTGGAGCGGCCTAAACCGAGCAGGCATAGGCGAGACGGGCGTTGGCGCACACGCGCAAGGGAGAAGCGGCGTGGACTGGGCGCGCGTGATGAGTGATCGGAGTGTTGATCGCAGTTGTTTTCTGTTTCGGTTGTGTGTAATCGTGCACTCAGGGCCTTCGACTACACACGATAGATGTGTCTAACAGATGCACTCGGGCCTTCTCTTAGACACCGTGACTTCAAGACGCACTAATGGCCTTCTCTCCGACACTTGTATGTAAACACGCACTGCGGCCTTGCTTAACACACGAAAGAACACCAAGTTCCCCTTTTCTATTCACTCATCAATTTTCTGGACTTTCAATAATGAAGAGTTACATGGGTATTTATAGATGCATAAATTAAATCTAAGTCTAATCAAACTAGATCTCCTAATTCTATAATTAAAAGAAATAAGATTCAGCTCAAAAAGGTCTCCCAAACTTGGTTTCTTGCTAGGCAAGTCATGCCCCGCGCGCTGCCACTGCGGGCATGCTACCTGCGCCCGCGCGTGCTGATATGGAAGTGGGTTTCGAGCCCCGGCGACAAGAAGGGCCAAGAGCCAAGACGACCCGAGGAGGCTGAAACTCACGCATGGCCCAAGAGGTGGGTACGAGCTCGTATGCGAGGCACTCAAGCACATGAGAAGAGGCACGAGTCCACGCAAACACGAGGTAGTCGATGGATGTCTTGTGCAAAGGAGCGGGTACGCGCGAGAAGAGCTCGCACGTTCACAAAGATACACGCACGAAGACACTGCATGAGCCTGAGGAGCATGAGGTGTAAGCGCATAGCACGGACAGGCTTGGATCGAGGAGTTCGCATAGGCGTGAACCATGGTAGCCGACGAAAGGCCCAACAGATCGATGCACGAGCGCATGAGGCAAAACCTGTGAGCCGAGGGTCGGCCATACAAGGGTCTACTATACAAGGATCGAGCGTGAGTGGGTCGAGGCTTGCAGGTCAAGAGATAGCGTGCGATCAAGCACGTGGAAGAGAACGCGGGTTGGACGCGCGATCACACAAGTCGGCCAAGGAAGGTCGCGCATGGAGGAATGCAAGGGCACGCAAAAGGGTGGTCCATAAGTGGGCGACAATCGGGCGCAAGAAAAGGCTCATTAGATAAGGGCGTGAATAAGCGCATTGGCGTAGACGTGCACGGACAAGACCACGCCCCGAAAGGAAGCGCTATCAGAGGTTTTGGGATGCTTATAGAAGGGTTAGAACCTGGTGGGGATGTCTAAGGAACCAGGTGGCTCGAAGGAATGGAAGGCATGCGAGTTGGGTGCCTAACGGGTGCAGCCCGCGCACATGGGCGTGCTGGCAGCGCGCTGGCGCGCAGACGCGTTGATGAAGGATCGGGTGTTCGCGTCCTCGACTTGTCTCGACCACGGCTTCGCCACGGCCTTGCTCTCGACGATAGGTGTGATCGACTCGGTTATTA